CAAATTAACGCTCCGAAAAAAGGCGAGTTTCGAACTTTTGAAGTAGCTCAATTTTTTAAAAACCGAATCAGCCTCCTGTCAAAGCACTATTGCTGGAAAATTTCAACTATTTTATGATAAACAGATTTTTGAAGTCTCGCGAACTTTTTGGGTTGACACATTTATGCATCACTACTCTTCATTTATCAAATTTCATAAGCACGCTTGCTCAAATATCATACTCGGTCTTTTTTGCTTACTCCCAACAAAGTATTTAATTAACTAGTTCAAATTCTCTCGAGGATAAATTTAAATCCAATTTCAGAAAAGAGTGATCCCTCACTTGCTTTGATAAAAAGCGGGCCTGTTTTTACTTATTTGCATCTTCTTTTGAGCTATGAAATAAGCGTACCGCTGCTGCATATTTACCATCTTTAAGTAGAATTTAAAATATAAGTTTATATCGCCAACTCGGAGGCAAATATGTCAGCACAACCACGACAGTCTTTCTGTTTTCCAAGTTTGGAGTCTGTGGAAAATGAGGTCACTGAGATCCAGGCCCAAGTTGGTACTGGAAGTCTCTCTCGCCATAACAGCAGCCGACACCAAAGAAAAAACCGCAGCAGGTAAAAGAAACTAGTCAAATATAATTTCAGCATAACCTTAATTTGTATGCAAACTTTATGACATCCGTAGTTTTGTTGAAAATGTTTCAACTCTTCTAACTAAATTTTCTTCAGAAAAATTATATTATTTTATCAAGATCAAACAAGAATAACCGGTTATTGTGAAAGCTTCGAATAAAGTTAATACCCTTGCGACAAGCAAGGGTATTGCAATCGGTTGCTGGCTTTTTCCCGCGTAAAAAACTTTGCTCACAGAATGGTCATTTTGTAGAAATATTGAATTCCAAGACATGCCCAATTTCTTGAAAACTCAATAAAAACAAGGAAAAGCGGTATTTATTTTGTTTCAATTAAGTGTTTCTTTCTGCGTGATGTGATGAAAAAAATCTCAAGGAAATAAAAATTTAGGCATTTTTGACAGTCATAGTAAAAAGCCCAATTGGAAAACAAATTTTGTAGAACAATGAGTAGAAGAACGAAAAAACCAGAAATTTTTGAATTTTTGATTCTCAGAATTATTTGTCAAAATTTTCACTTTTTGCTGAATTTTTATTTTTTTTCTCGACAACTTCTTTACTGATTTTCAAAAAATCGGCATCAACAAAAGAACAGCTTTTACATTGTATTTTTGCATACTTCCATGTTATCTTTTAACCTTACTCCACTTTCAAAGGCCTTTGAAAAATTAAATGTGGGGAAGGTGAATAATTTTCTGAGATTTTTATTCAGATGTTAGGATTAATCTCAGAATAAGATTTCAGTGGCAAAAACAGGTAGCAGGGATCTCTCTTTTTCGTGTTACTACATTCTAAATTTAAAAGAAAAAATTGTGGCTTCAAAAGCCACGTTTCAATTTTTCCACTTTTCCTCATAAACTACCCTCTCATATCTTGAATTCATACTTCAATCGAAAAAACAAGTTGTGAGAGTCCTCTCAGTGTAAACGGCTATGCTCTAATTTTCATTTCAAACAATTAGTTAAATTTTCAGAAAATTAAATTTTATTTCAGTTTTTGATTGTTTTTTGGAAGCTTTGTAACTTTTATCGAAAATTACCCTGCCAAATCTGATATCAAAGCTTTAATCGCAATAAAAACTTTTACCACCAATCCTCCCTGCATTAGCGAGTTTGCCCTATTTTTGTTTTAAAAAAAACTAATCACCCAGGGATAGGTCAAAATTTTGAAACGGTGACCGTTTTTTCGAAAGATTTCGATTGTTCTCAAAAAATTACCAATATCAAAGTTATTGGTTCCATTGGAAAAAAAGTTTTCAAATTTTTTTGCAGGATAAGCTTGTACTCCCTTGTGTAGAACTTGTGTACGCCCTTATGTACGCTCTTATGTAGAAACAAAGTATAGCCTTAGCAGAAGTCAAGTTTGTTTCTTTTTGGACTTTTTTGGAAGATTTTTGACTTTTCTCAGGAACATGCAAGATTTTTGGTTTTTTTGTGCAAGGTTTTTTTTTCATTTTAGTGGCCTTCTGTTTTTGTATTGCAAGCGGTGCGAAGCTCAGCTTTGTCTCTATGTAATGCTTTTTTTGTTTATTAGCTTCTTATTAAGTTTAGCTTAATTAATTTTCTTTTATGAGCAAAAAGAAGAGAAAAAAACGCTAGGAACTTTTTTCTTGCACCTGGAACCTTTAAATACAATAAATTTTTAGCTAAATGTTATCAGTGTGTACCATATTTCATGTAGGAAATCAGGTGAGAGCTCATCCACACTCAATATCATTACTATAGCCGTAGATCGAAGATGCCGTTTCAGAATAATGTAATAAAGGCCTAAGGTCCAACAAAAATGAATTCAACCAACTTGTTGGTGCAGTTTTCTCGGATCTTGATCCCAAATGTTTAAGTTGAGCTTTGCTTTTCCCAAAATTCTAAGAAACACAATATGCAAAGCGAAATTTCCTAAGCTTTAAAAATTATTTATAATGCTAGGCCTGAATAGGAAATAAAAGGATGAGAAAGATAAAGTGTCAATTAAAATGTGTCATCTGAAACAGCTACGAACAGTGAGATGATCGACCAATGGTCGATACGTAACATAGTTGACAGGTATTTAATCAATACCAAAGGTCAATAGATCAAACAAAATGAAAAACTCGATTTGGGAAAATTCCCCAACGGGAAAAAAATTGAAATTTTTGCAATTAACTAAAACTAAACTCTATATACACCTATTTGCCCCTTCAAAGTAGAGTGAACAAAATTTAAAAACTGCACAAAATAAAATGAAATGAGCAGAATGAAAATTAAGTACCTACAATTGATGTCGGAATGTTAAAGTTTGTACAGATGGGTGAAACTTACAGAGTTTACTTGATCTCTACTAATGATATATGGAAACTAAAGCAACTCTACACTGCCAATTGTACACCTAAATGTACACATGAATAAAATGATAGGGCAATGTTAATAGACAAAACATCTTAAAATGCTTGTAATGGTCAACAAATGGAGTTATTTAGGTTCGTGGAGTTTTTAATTCTATGTGGCATCGAAATCTTCTGATGAGTGTCGCACGTCTTGGTCTATAGCCGTTGAAATTTCGCTCAAGGAGTTCTGTTTTTTGTCGATACTTGAAAGAGTCATGGATTTCCCATTGGCAAGACTTCCATGAAGTTGGCGTCATGAAGACTGAAAGAGCGGCCTCCGTTGGGTTGAATTGGAGGAGCAAGTAAGGGTTGTCTCGGCGACCATCGTCTGTCTCTGAGGAGAATGAGTTAAAGAGGTGAGGAAGTCCAAAGAAGAACAGCAGGAGAAGGCAGGAGGTGTCACTGAGTCATTCTCGAGTCTGGGTAACGTCTCAGATTCCTCTACGTTATCCACGTATCTGCTCTCCCCGTAAAACTGTGGGTTTCCCACATTTCATTTTGGTCTGGCAGATCGTCTCGTCTGAGTGAACTAAGGGGCGTCTCCTCTGGTGCGCTATCCAGCAAGATTGAATCTGTTGCGGAACCAGATGTTGATGACCCCGTTAGTCTGATTGAATGGGCAACGACTGCTGGTCAGCTACGCTCTTCGGATTCCGAGAGTGGGGTCTTTTGATCACCTGTAACACTCAAGTCAACGTTTTTGTCTGTGGCTATTTCTTGGCAAATCGGGGCGTTGTTCTTCGAAACATCCTCGAATTACTCATTAATCAAGCCGTCCCAAGAATTTAAGTTTGGCGAAGAAGAGGAGGAAGATGAACCTGACGATTTATGAGGTGATTCCGGATTAATTATAATTTCCGGTGGTGTCTGAGTGATTCCAGTTGTCGGCGTCATGTTTCAACAGGTCGTCTTCTTCTGAGAGTTTGGCCGGATTGTTTTCTTGGGTGGCAATTTGGTCCTCTTTCCAGCTAAACTTTGAATGTTTATCCTATCAGTACACATGGGTTGTGGATTAACAAGGATTTTAGAAGGGCCCGGAAGTTTTTTTCGTTTGATTGATAGGTCATAATTTTCTAAAAAGTGTCCATTTTTCAAAGTAACTGTGTGATCCGATAAAGCATCGATCACCTCTTTAACTGGAATTAAATACGGGTCTCCAATTTTCCGATTTTTAATTGTTCTAAAAAGATCACCTCCGGTGGTCAGTTTCATATGAGATGATCGTCTGTCTCCGGCCATAGGGATCAGGTTTGTCCGGTTTCCTGACGAGATCTGGGCCAGGGGAAAGTTCGTTTCAGAGTCTGATGAATCATTCATTTCTGGGTCTTCATATCCGTCCTCTGCCCCCTGATGTAGCTCCCAGTTTCTGGCCCGACGGTCCGACAACATCAATTTTTCTCGATCTAAACGACTGTCAACAGAAATTAGGTTTTTCTACCTTTTGTTAGCAGTGCAGTTGAAATGTTTTTCGAACGGAGTACATCCGATGGAAAGTTGTTTGGTAATCCGTAGATTCCAAATAAATTTTTCGTTTGAAGAATTTAAATCAACGTGGGTAATTGGTATGACGCAGCGAGAAGTTTGGACTATACAGTATGTACTAGTCTCTCAACGATAAATCTGTTCTATATTACATTTTTTGCAAAACGATTTTAAAAAATGTTTAAAGAAGCATGACCCATGGTCGACTCTGATTTTTCTTGGAAAGCCGTGAAGATGGCTTTAATCGTTCCAGAAAGAGATAACAGAATTTCACGATGTATTGCTAACAACTTTTGCAGATGGAAATCTGGTAAAGCGGTCAATGCAAAGAAGAATATATTTCCTTGATCCTCAAAATGCGTCCAAAGGGCCGGCAAAATCTAATTTTATCTCTTCATTGGCAAATGATGAAACCGGAAGTTTGCTCACGTGTTCTGATCCCTACGAAAACTTAAGATTTTTACCGAGTTTCAAGCACTGCCTGCATGATTTGCCCTGGTGGTATATTTTCGGGAGATATTCGGCCAACAGATTTGTTCGGCCGGGATTTTTATACCGAACTTGCCTGGGTGAGAATTGTGCAACATAGAGCTGAAAGCCCTTGGGCCGCTGCTGGAACCACAAGCTTGTTATCCAGAAACACAACTTGTCTCTACTATACAGGTCCTTCTCATAAATTTTCATATAGGATCCATGAAATACATTTGCGCGTCCCATCTTCAGTGTCGTAATTAAGACCCATAAAATTTCATCGTCCTTGGTCTAGATTTGTAATTGCTTTTTGGACCATTGATTTTCTGATATAAGTGGAGATGATGGTAAGGATAAGTTTGATTTATACCGTCTTAGTAAGTCCGCATGATGGTTATTGAGTAATTCGTCTTTAAATTTCAAAGCGATATAATGTTCCTTCGGGACAATTACTAAAACTTCAGATAATTTGGAGGAAAAGTTTTTCGCAAGTCTCTAAGTTTTTCGCAAGTCTTTGACTTTTGTGGCATGATGTTTTTGTTAAGCAGAATGAAATTTGACAGGGCTTCAGCTGTAAATGAAATGCTTTTGTAATTGAATTTGGCGTTACCTATAGGTAGGGAGTTTGCCGAGCAATTTTCTGATCTTACGTGAAAATTATTACAAAT